GCAAAAGAATGATCCATTTGCCGAGCTTCGGATAAACGAGGATCAACTAGATGAAGTAGAGATGATATTTCACAGGAACTAAAAATTCGAAAAAAAATAAATCAAATAGAATAGATGGCCTAAAAACCATCACAATAACAGATCGAGAAGGCGTCACATTACTAAAAGGTATTTGAAAAGTTCAACTCAAAAGTAAAAATGCAAAATCAATATTTATCAAATTTTATAACTGAAAAGCCACACCAGAAGGTGGACCACTAGGAACAGGTTTCGAAACACAACCAGCACTATTATCGACAACTTTTGCGGTAGTAAGCGACCAAGCGTCCAAACTTGGACTCAAGAAGAATAAATCGATAGTAAGCGTGTTTGGGAGTCACCAGGTGGTGCAATTTAATCATGCGCCTTTTGTTACAACATTGGTTGCGGATGTTGATGCGAATACGGGTGAAATATATTAGATTTACTTTTATCGCTATACCGTTAAATGAAAATATAAATTTTTAATTTCTGGCCTTTTTTTAGGTATCTTGCTAGATCTCAATAATGAATTAAAAGATGTGACTGATGTGATCGCTACAGCACTACAGGAACGGCAAAATTTCACAACACCATAAATTGTAATAAATCCAAGAAAAATTGGAGGCGGACAATTAACTTCATATTAATTCACCAACTATTTAATAATAATCATAGACATTGTTGTATATGTATTATTTATTTTATATTTGCACTTTTGGTTTTTTTATATAAAACTATGTATATATAGAATTTAGTTTCCTTAATTAATTTTCAGCCATGATCCAATTCCAATTCGCTGGTTCCCAAGAAGCCAATTCACCCGGTTTTCCGAACCACAATCCGATTTCTTGCTCGGCCGTATCAAAAGAATCTGAGCCATGAATAATGTTACGACCAATACTAATATTAATACAAAATAAAAGATATACAAATAGTTTAGTTAATCAAAAAAACCATATATTTGTTTATTAATCTCTAATACCACATCTTACCTAATAGAATAAGTATTACGAATAGTTCCCGGAGCTGCATCTAAAGGATTAGTAGCGCCAATCATAATGCGACCTTGGCGAATTACGTCCTTTCCTTCCCAAACCTAAAATTGAAATCAAAACTAAGAATTAATACTATTAGAGAAGAGCGAGACAAATAGAACAAGACGACAATAAATACCATAGCCACAACCGGCGCCTTTCCGCTTGTTATATAGTTCACTAACCCCTTGAAAAACGGTCTAGTACTCAAATCAGCATAATGCTGTTCAGCCAGCTGTCGACTCGGCACCAAAGACTTTATCGCCACCAATTTATATCCGCGTTTCTCGAATCGTGAAATAATATCGCCAACGAGTCCACGTGTTACCCCGTCCGGTTTAATCATTATGAAAGTGCGTTCAGAACTTGTGCCTTTTTTTCCGGCGAATTTTGCCGTTTCTTCGGCGTGTAGTGGATTGGCTTATGTTCATTTGATAGCGTGATGAAAGGATGATTAATTGAATCCAATTGACGGCGCATGCCAAATTCTATTGATGATGGACAAAAACTAGAGAACATTCAATTACCATTACAATAAGCCAAAGTACCAACAGCAGCAGTGACCGAACATGCAGCAACAAAAAACTTTGATGCTGATTTTTTATAATTCGATGACGATAAAAAGGCAGCATTTGAGGTCGCGGGATACGCATTTCGATTTGTTGTTGAGAAAAAAGTTTTTCCTAATACATTCAATTCACACCATATAATAGCGATATCGATTTCGATTTATGAATTAAATTAATTAGTTTAATAAATGATTAGACAGAAAACAGATTGATTAATTACCTACTGAACTATTATCGAAACGACCGGGTACTATCAACCCAAAAGATTCAGCGTCATTATCATTATTACAACAAAAATAAGTTTTTATGTTTACATTTATACGTCAGTGATAGAGCCCCAAGTATATCATCAATTACGCATATAAAAAGATAAATTGTAAAAAGAGCTTTAGAGATTTAAATTAAAAATAACGCGTGAGCACAGACATTGTTACACATGGTTTATGTCTATTTAAAATAAATTATCAAAGGAATGCGCACCTCGCGACCCACGATTAATACGAGAAACATAATAGAAAAGTCGTCGAGAATACATTATACCAAAAAATCAAATATATTTCTCAAAAATACACATAGATACAAATCAACTATAAATATCATTTATTAGTGCAAATATAGTTAGTCTCGATTTTAAGCGTATATCATATGGATCGCCGCGATGGATTATTAATTTTCTAAACGATGAATTTACATAAAGTGCATACGTATAGAAAACTCGAATACAATTCTCTATAAATGTATAGTATTCAGATTCATTTCCAAGTCAATATCTCTAATATAAGCTAGCCGCTTTCAATTTACAAACCAATCAATCAATCAAGGTCCATAGTATCTTCCTCGTCCTGTTCTTGATCACTATCACCATCAAAGAATTCATTGTCATGCGCCTTTGATCTTTTTATACGCTTATTAGCACGTTGATCTTCCCGAGTATCGGCCAATTCTTCGTCAGCCTCTTGCAAGTATTCCGCTATACCGTCAGGCAATTCTTGCATTTGTACAACGGGAGCACCATCTAGATGTCTTAACTGTTCAAAAATGACTTCTGTTAATCGTTTCAGATCAGTCTTGGTGTTTTGATTGTCAACGCGTCCAACCAGATGTGGATGCAATTTATAATCAGGTTCAAAGAAATCAAGGTATTTACTTTCTCTTGGAATTTCATTAGGAAGATTAGCATCCAGCAATACGCTAGTTTCATACGCCCAACATCTTGCTACATTATGAATAGTATAACCACCACCACCTAGCACCAGCAGCGGTATCTGCCAGCTTTTGATTATCTTTACACAGTCTCCATGAGCTTTAATAGATAGATTGAATGCTCCAAGACGATCTAAACCCAGTGAGTCTGCACCACATTGTAAGACAACTACACTTGGTTGGTATCGATCTTTCACTTCCGTCATTATCGTTTTAAATAAGTTTACATAACTGTCATCATCAATTCCATTTTTCAGTGGCACATTAATGCTGTAATACTTGCCGAGTTCACTACCTATTTCGGTGGTGTCTCCAGTACCAGGGAAGAACCCAGGTTCATATTTGTGGAAAGAAACTGTCATAACTCGATCAGTACAATAGAATGCTTCCTGTACACCATCCCCATGATGTATATCTATATCAATATACAATACTCGCGCATAATATCTATTTGATCATAAAGAGCACGATTAAGAATACGTATTTAATTCTTTTTAGAAAATACACAACAGATCCCACTTACTTTAATAACTGCCTAATAGCTAGCACTATATCATTTACATAACAGAACCCCGAAGCCTCGTAGCTTTTCGCGTGGTGAAGACCACCACTCCAATTGACGCAAATTTCCATATCTTTCATACATAGTTTTTGTGCGGCAGCCAATGAAGCACCGGTATAAATTCTACAGAAATCCCATAATCCATCAAACACTGGACAATCATCGCCGAAATTGAAATTGCCTAATACATCTGCGAATTCTGTATCTCGATTTTGTGGTGTAATCCTTTTTTTTTTGCAAAGTTAAAAAATTTTGTTTAGTTTCGATAATGGCAATTAGATAGAAATTACTCATTTACTTTTTGAGAAAATTTACGTAATCCGATTCGTGGAACTCGAGAAGTTCGGCCTCTGTCGCCATACGTGGACAATAGACATCCATCAATTCGTGCAATCCGTAATTTATAACTAAATCGTTCGTCAAAGTTAATCGATGCGGTTTCATAGGATGTCCTGTCTTTTTTGTATCATAAACCTTTTATTTCATATATGGAAAACATAGCGAATTAACTTTGTTTCTTTCTTCTTCGCTGCACCCTTTACACACAGCACCTACCCCCGTACCCACACCATAATGAAAAGACCCGACGTCCTTATTATGAAAATATGCTACTCGTGTTTTCGAGTGTGGTCGGATATGTGTGATTGCAGGTTGTGCACGACTACTTCGTGAGCGACTATCGGTTGTGAATGTTGAAGAGCTCATTTCTTTCTTTTTGATGATTCTGTTCGTCGTCAAATGTTAAGATCGCGAAAATTATATTAGAAATGCAGCGTTTTCCCATAAAAGGTTAATGTGTAAATTTGGTAAAATCGGACTTATTTAAATTCACACTCTAACTTCCTTTAGATGCACATTATGTCTGATTAATGATATGGTTCCGAGGTGTATTTATGGAGGTTATTAACGCAAGATGAATTCTATTCTTTGTCATCTTTAGTATTTTTACAAGATTCAACATTTAGTGAATCTTTCAGAGAAGATCCAATCATGTCTCATTCATTCATTAGAATGTCTATTTTCGTTCGAGCTTTCAGCTTTCGCGACAAAACACCATACGAAGTAGACGATATACCCAAAATTTTATTGCATAGAAGAGACAAATAAATAAATCAAACACGTCCATATCAAGTAAAAATGTGTAATATATCGTTTCCTCATGCAAACTACACAAAATTGAAAACAAAAGATCATTAGATATTTCCGAAAGCAAAGAAAGTCTCAACTACAATATCACCTGCGACAGGTATGACTCTGCTACAATACGAGCCTACGAACCAAAAAAATACATGTTAAATAAATCGATGGATAAAAAAAGAGGAAGACAAAGAGACCCAACTCACCCGACTATTCAATGACAACTTCATCTCTGAAATTTCTTTATCCACTTCTTCCATGAACTGAATGATGAAATCGACAATCTTATGTTTGTACATTGCTTCAGTATGGAAATTGGTAATCAGGAAACTAATGTCGTATCCCTATAATGAAATAATTATCTGAAAGATTTAATCAATAATCTCATGGCATAATTAATTGAAAGATCTCAAATATTCGTTTTTTTTTCTTTTTTATGGCAAGATTAAAACTTTACTTACGGGGATGGGTTTCCTCCTTAAAATAATGAAATTCTCCGCACGTAACATCATGAATCGCGTAAACTTATGGCAAAGAATAACTTCGATTTCATCCGCCTGCTTAATTTTAATGCTAATACGAATGGAGTTTACAGATGGTTCTATCAACACTTGTTCTTTTTCATTTCTGCTGACGGTTAGTGGGTTTAGCACCACTTCAAGTGATGATCTATTGTTATCAGCCAATGTTAATAAAAAATTAGGAAGAACATGAATCAATAGATAAGTAAAAACTAAAAAACTCACAGAGCTTCAATCTCTGGTTTATTATGTCGTTCAACAACCTGCGACGGGAAATTTGTCAAACAAAGAGCTGCTGTCAATGTAGATCGTACAGCTGTCAGGTACGAGCGAAGTGTATTTGACTTTTTATAGAAAAATAAGGTATCGAAAAATTTTTAATAAATAATACGAATAGTTTTTGTTTCAGTTGCCAAGGTCGCAAGTAATCAAACTTTGGAGTTTTGTTATATTAACATTCAAGCTTTGAGATAGATAAAATACAAACCATTTTTACCTATTTGAAATTCCTGATTGATCGGCAGATTTCTTAGCAGTTCGTGTGGTGAGATCAGATTTATTCATTTCTAGTTCGGATTGAACGGTCATTATTGACCGATAGTCCGAACTACTCGGCGTAGCCAGAAAAAACGGCATGGTAATTTGGATCTTATATTGATCAGCGTTTACATTACAAACGGAAGGGGACAGTGCTGAATCAGATGGTCTTTCCGCGTCAGTGTAATATAACTTTAACTAACTCTAACCCTAACCATAATCGAAATGCTGATTTGCATAATCAGTTTTACTGAACCTAATTTCAAATTTCCTAATTTGAATTCTGAATTTTCATTAGGTATTGGGTTGGAGACAAAATTATAAGTAAAATTGCTTTCCCGTCATTTTTAATTAATAGTCAAAGACAAGTTTAGATTTCTCCTTATGACAAAAAATTTGCGTACAGATTAGCAAATTTGAAATCCACCGATTATAAATTTATCCGGCACTGGTCCGTAAAGATCACCTGATTCAGCACTGTCAAATTTGTCTCGCAGTCACATGATTTAGAATTTAGGTCGTTAAATCCAGAAAACAGAAAAAAATAAAATATATTTTAAAATTGCTGAGATATATATAGAGTACTATTAATGAAAGAAAATTTATAAAAGTTAAAATTATCTCTTTTTTTAGGATTATTTACTTTATTTTTACAAGCATAAAGTTTCATAAAGAGATTTTAAAGTCTAATAACATGAAAGTTTTATGATGCTTAATTAATTAGTCAGCTAATTTTTCAATATTAACATGAAATTCAAATTTTTAATATATAATAATTATCAAGTATTACTTAATTAATAAGAAAATTTCTATAATTTTATAACTATTTAATTATAAATAATAAATTTTAATTATTAATTATTCTTATAAGAGTTTATATTATTACTCAGTTTTATATATAGAGTTTATTCTTTTAGAATTTTAAATCATATCTTCTCAATTAATATTAATAAATTACAAGATCAAATTATATTAGAATAATTAGTTACATAATTTTTTATTTAATACTATATTATTTATTTATATTTAAAAGTAAAATTTTAATATTAACTTTATATATATTATACAGAAAAATCTTTTTAAATATATTTCTTTCTAAGTATATACTCTCTTTAAATATATTTTTTAATTTGATTTTAAGCTAAAATTATAATACTAAATATATATCTTAGTGATATAATTATAATTTAATTAAATTATAATTATATTTATTAATATAGATTATAATTTATCTAAAAATGATATGTATTTTGCTTTTTATAATATATTTGAGTAATATGCATTTTATAATATTAAGATAGAATAGTTATAACTTATATATTGAATACTATATAGATTATATTTATATTACTAATTGAAAACTATTAAGATATATATTAATATAATATATATTTTATCATGACTAATTTTTATTATTGAGTTATATAAGCAAAAAAATATATTGATAATATATTTAGTAATATATCATCATTTATGAATCTGATATGAAAATAATATTCAAATTGAATATATAATATTCTTAACTTTCTGATTAATTTCTTTATGAGAATTAAAATTAAAATATATAATAAATAATATTAATAATCTTTATATATTCAAATATTATCTGAGAATAAGATATGTAGTATTAAATTATTAATAATTATTAGTTTTGCATAGTTTATTTGAATATTATCTAAGAATAAGATACATAATATCAAATTATTATTCTTATTTAATAATTTATTAAAGTATAATTTTATTATATATATATATATCTATAATAATTTTATCTTAATATTTCACTTTTTTTACTTGAAATAATACTTATTTGATGATTTATTAAAGCATAATTTTATATATCTTTTATCTGTAATAATTATTTCTTGATAATTCTTTTTCATAGTTGATCCAGCATAAGATTTCTTTCTGATTAGCTTTCATAACATAATATTTAGCATTAGTTACTTTATCAAATAATTGAGTTAAATCGAGTAATAAGATTATATCAGAATTTTGATAACAGGTTATTATTAAAATTTCAGTCACATGATTTGAGAAAGCAAAACTTCAAATCTAACTAATCTGAATCTTGAATGTCATCAGCTATCATCTGGATGATATTCTCTATTCCCTTTTTCTTGTATGATTGGAATATTTTGTTCAAACTTTTATTTTGGCCATGCCAGCTCTGCTGATTCTGATTCCAAAGCTTTTTCATAGTTTTTGAGTCCAGAGATTCAGGTGTTGGCATAGTTGATGCCTTGGATTGTATCGGAGAAGTTAAGCTATTATGAGATTCTTGAAGTTTTTTTTTCTGATTCCTTTCTCTTATCTCGCTACTAATCCTTTCCTTATATATCATTTCTATAAAATCTAGGATCTCAGCTAAATCATCATCGATAATATCTTGTGGTAAAGAGGTTATAGATTTTTCAGGCTCCGTTAAAGATTCAGATTGGGTTGAGCTATATTCTATTTTAGGCAAGGGATTAGGAGTAATACCTTTCTTCCCATCAGAATGGCTCTCAATAAGTGGTGAAATATCTTTTGTAGGAGATGGCTCCTGTTTATTAGTAATAGCCTGCGTCTGTTTCTGTTCCAATTTCGTGATTCTATCTTTAAGCTCAGTATTTTCTTCTGCAATCTGTTCCAATTTGGCGATCCTGGCTTTGAGCTCAGCATTTTCAGCTTCACGTTTGGTGCTCTCTTCCGTAATCTGTTTTAAAAGCTCGGCATTCTTGGCTTCGAGCTTAGCCTTTTCGGCTTCAAGCTCAGAAATTCGTTGCCTCAATAAATCAACCTCAGATTGCATGTTTTAGTAATAGATTGTATATATCCTCTTGTTTATTTAAAATGTATAAAGTAGCAAAAATTTCGGCAACAGCCCGTCGTCAAAAAAAAATCAAACGAAAAAATCGTTTACTAGTAATCATATAATAAATTTTACTCTCCGATCAGCGATATCAATTTATTTCTCAACAAATTAAATTTTAACTGTTCTTGGGCAAACTTGAATCGAATCAGTTTTATATTAATAGTTTCATCCGCCTTACTCAGAAATGTAGCATCTGATTTTTAATAAATTAGAAACACATCTATAAAACCCAATTCAGGCAAACCTTTATTTGTTAAATTTTATTGCTATGGTATTATATGATACATTAATAAAAGACCGGAGATTATTATTACGCAAGAAATATTACTCATTAACAATTACATATAAAATTTACATCGACCTTTTCTACTCAAGAATTAGGTCAGTTTCTGGGCAATCTGAAATGGAATAACATATCAGTGATGTTAAATATGTTAAATACAATATAACGAATTTGTCACTGACCTTTCGGGACCCTCGGTTTTTGGAAGGATCTGTATTCACTCTGCCTAGTAGGCATTGTCACCTTTCCAAGTGCAAATTTCTCTTTTTCAGCCCTGGTTTTCATTTGCTTAAATCGTGAAATAGAAATTGATAATAATTTCTGCAAGAACAAAATCAAGTAAGTGAAAATAAAACTCAAGCGATTTTAAAGATTGTTTGGATGTTACTAACCTTTATTTGGAGCATTATTCGTGACATTTTAATGAGGAACTCAAGTTCTTGATATTTTATTGGGATATAAAATTCGGATAAATTTACGGACGCATAAAATCCGCCACCAATATATATAATCAGAATTGCACGCATAAAAAAATAAGAGGATAAAAATCCGGGCATTAAAAGCTTTGTGCTTGCTTCAAGAACTGGTTTCGAAAGTGTTCCCCCACCCTCGGCAAATATTGTCTTAATTAAAGTTTGGTGCATGTCGCGTAATGTCTTCTGTACTTTAAGTGAGTTTGAAAAAATCTTAGGTGTGTTTTCAATTTTTGATCCCGTACGCTCACAAAGGGAAAACTCGCGACCCCAGCATAACTCTCTTCCTAAGTCGTGCCTCTGTAGATTCAAATTAGTAAACACACTGATAGTTGACAATGAAAACTCTTAAAAATCTATTACTTTGTATAATAATAAAAATAAATCAGCCATACCGTGAACATCCAGTCCAAGTGGTAACCTTCTGCATTAGTTGATGCATTTATTGCCTCTGCTCGGCGATTTCGGGAAGACCTAGATACCATCTCGCCACTTAATTAAAAAAAAAGGATGTAAGAACTACTGCAAATAATATAAATATTTAAAAAATAACAATAAACCTACAAGTGACTATCCAGAATAGTATCGAAACAAGAGAAAATGTGCCGTTTTATAAATACATCAATGTCGCGTTCAGTATTTGGTCGTTGAGTAATCCCTTTTGAAATCATTTCACATCTGAATGAAATTGTTACATAAGACTTTGTTAAGCACATGAATGATAACATGTAATTTGGTACTTAACCATTAAAACTTATGTAAATCGAATCAAATCAAAAATGAAAGCAACATCTGGATTCATACAATCGTCGGGAGTCAATGGTGGAATCTCTTTATGCTGATCCGTTTCATTATCTTTTTCGTTTTCAAATAAATTATCCGATTCTGGCGCTTTCTGTTCCTTTATATTTTCCAATAATTTTTGAAGCTCGAGAATCGCACCATGTGTTCCTTTAGGTCTTATTATTTCTCCAATAGTGCGGAGTTGATCGTTGTCAAGCTGGAAACCAAAGCATGTATTAATAAATTTCAATTGAAATACTTAATTTCTTTCATTTACCTTTTCGAGAGACTGTAAGCAACTTTCCGCTTTTGGTTCTAATGTGGTCCAGTCTTCTAGAAGGGATGAAAACTTTGCAATCAATTCTGACAATTCATTTTCCGACATAAGGGTCCCGATCTCTGGATCAGATATATCAATAATCCTCCACCAGATTGGACTAAAATTTATTAGAACCCGGAAACCACAAATAATAAACAAATCAATGTTTATCAAACACTTACTTTAATGACGATTCATATTGAGTCATTTTATCATTACAATTAAAAGCATTGTAAATTAATGAATCACGCTCGTGTGCTATTTTATCCAGCCAACTTGGTTTCGGTGCATCAAACTCCCATTCAACAAAGAGTTCTTCATCATCTAAAACCTATGTATGCATTCACAAAATTTATATAAGAAAGCTTTTTTTATTTTGCTAAAAATTAAAGCAAATATAAGTACCTCGATCAAATCTGATAGTCCTTCGTCTTTACATTGACGTTTGTACGAATGGTCATCATCTTCTTCCGCATCAAGTGGTCTAGAAATTTTTTGACGTTCCTTTTCCTTTTCTGAGGATGTTTCTCGTAATTGATCAATAAGTATTTGGCTTTCTTGTTGATCCTAAAAAATTTTTGGTAAGTCTATTGGTCTATTGTGAACGTTGATTTGAATTTTCATAAAATTTACCCTTAATACTGTGGCAGTGTAAGTTGATGTTACGTTTATTCGCGCTTCTTCGTGATACTCAAGATCTTTGATGAATTGCTTCACTTCGGCAGTGAAGAATGAAGAATCAAATTTCGATAAAATTTTCGCCACTTTGTTTTTAGCAAGTACGTGAACATTGCATTTATCCTTATAGCTACATAGTATTGCATGCAAATCCTCCTTGAAATCATTGATTGTAGCTATAGATAATTTCGAGTTTGATCGTGAAAATTCTAAAATTCCAAGGATCGACCAATCTTTACTTTTTACCGTATCAAGATATTTTATTATGGTGGATTCAAACATCTTAAAAAAAATTAACGCAATTATTAGTTTATCTTTTTAGTTAAAGGAGATATGGTGTTTACAGTCAACTGTATACTGGAAAACAGCCGACTGGGACACGGGCCTTAAACACGTATGCCTAAGGACAGCCAACAGACTGCCTCCAAACATCTGAACGCAGGAAGGTGTTGCCTAACGACAGTAGGTATAGTGAACGCATCCTGGAAAACAGCCGACTGGGACACGGGCCTTAAACACGTAAGTCTAAGGACAGCCCAACAGACTGCCTCCAAACATCTGAACGCAGGAAGGTGTTGCCTAACGACAGTAGGGATACGCATGACTGTAAACTTTACCAGAGATCAAAGAGCTACGAAGATATAGAAAAAGATTAACCTTATTTTTTTACTTTATGCTCGAAATCCTGTTCTGCAGTAGTATACGCGTTCAGAACGAAAAATTTGTTAAACGATCAACTTGTGTATCAAATTTCTATAATACACATGACTTTATTATATAATTATTCGAATTATTCGATCATGGTAAAATTAATTAATTTCAGGAATAAAGCATGAAAAGACCAATATTACTGGATCCTAAGCCTTTTAGTATTGTAT